GATTTCAGGGGTCAGCCCACATGGACTCAATTGCAAGACTGGGGCCTTAGAGAGTTGATGGGAATACCTGCTTCTGGTGGTGGGGAAGGGAAGAGTATTATTTATTTTTGTTTATTTAGATTTATAAACATAAAGAGTGCTTATCCTAAGCTCTGGTCAACCTCACGTAATTAACTTTCAGAATAACACTAACATAGATTTAGAGAATGATTGGTACTGCCCCTCTCCTCCCACAAGAGCAGAGCAAGTTCACAAGTGCTTATAAAAAAAGGGGTTCCTAACTAAATTTTAAACTTTGTTTAATAAAAAGAGCCCTGTAACCGTAGGCCATGAAAATTCTGAAAGGATTTTATATTGGCAGTTAGATGTATGTTGTAAGTAAAGATGAATATGAGCTAATTTTGTGGCTCAGGAGTTAAGTAATTCAAAAGGCAGGAGAACAAAGTTTTACATCAAGTTGTTATATTATTTATACAAAGTGAACAGTAGAAAGTGATACCCTCCCAAAAAATACAAGTGGATCTAAGACTGCAACAAAATGGTCCATATTTGCAGGACCCAAAGTGGTCTTTAAGAAGTAACATTCTTTGCCACTGATGTGATTGTATTAGTTCATTCTAAAATTCTAGGGCTCAGATTGATGATTGTAATACATTTAAACTGTCTCTTGCCAGCAACCAAACCATCTCAGTAGTATTTTTTTTGAAGGGTTTAGCCATATGTGGAATCCTGTGTGACCCAAACCCCATTAATCTTCATCTGCTTTTTTTGAAGGTGCACCCGGCAGTCAGTTAGGACTTAAAAATATCAGAGAACAATCACACTTATGATGGCTCTCATATTAACAGTACTTGTAATCAGAATTGATTTATATATTTGAGCATTTCTCAAAAAGCACATAAATGGTAGAGTTGGTCAAAACTCTGTCTAAACATTTTTGAAATAAGGTGTTTTTGGGGCCAAAACAAAACAAAAAAAAGTGTTGATCATATTTTTCTAGTTTTCAGTGAAAAAAAAAAATCAAACTGTAATGTAAACATTTCAGTAAATATTCAAATGTCAAAATTTTTCACATAAAATGGTGGTAGTTTTTTGTTTGGGTCTTCGTTGTTTTTATTTGTTTTGGGGTAAAATTCATAGGATATTTACAAAGTTTTTCCCCAAAATTTCCCATGAAAAATAATTGGCACTATTTGAGCTTCTCTAATAAATGCTATATTTATTGACTTCTTTAGAAAGTTTAGGGGAAAAAATAAAAAGTAGCCAGAATAACTGCTGTGTACTTGCTATTACATAGGGATTCCCATACTAGTTCAGGACATCAAGCTGTGGTCAATCTAGTCCAGTATCCTCTCTCTGACAGTCGTCACTACCAAAGGCTTCAGAGGAGCATGCAAAAAACTCCAGGAACAACAGTTAAAGCATAACCTGCCCATAGAGAAGTTTCTTTCTAGGATTCCCTAGTTCGTGGTTCACTGATGTCCTGAGGTATGATGGTTTAGGCCATACTTACAGGATGCGGGACTCTATCCTGGGAAACAGTGACTCTGAAAAAGATTTGGGGGTCATGGTAGATACTCATCTGAATATGCTCGCCTAGAGTGACACTGTGGCCAAAAGGCCTAATGAAATCCTTGGATACATAAATGGGGGGGATCTTGAGTAGGAGTAGAGCGGTGTTATTACCTTTATTACCTCTTTTGAGCTTACACTGAGCTCAGACCTGAAGAAGAGCTCTATGTAAACTCGAAAGCTTGTCTCACCAACAGAAGTTAGTCCAATAAAAGATATTACCTCACCCGCCTTGCCTCTCAACTATTCCTGGGACCAACCCAGCAACAACAACAATGCAAACAACTTTCTGAACAGTTTACACAATCTCCTAACTCATAATTTTCTCCATTTAACCATTTTTTAAATCTCTGAACTTCTTTTCTCTCTGCTGTATCTTTTTTGAGACAGGATGACTAGAATGGAATGCAGTGTTCCAGGGAGGGCATCAGATATATAATGGTACACCTCTACCCAGATATAACGCTGTCCTCGGGAGCCAAAAAATCTTACCGTGTTATAGGTGAAACCGCGTTATATCGAACTTGCTTTGATCCGCCGGAGCGCGCAGCCCCGCCCCCCCCGGAGCGCTGCTTTACCGCGTTATATCCGAATTCATGTTATATCGGGTCGCATTATATCGGGGTAGAGGTGTATTATAATATTCTCAATATTGTATTTTTATCCCATTCTTTATATATATATATATATATGCTAACATTTTGTTTGTTTTTGACAATCACTGCACACTGAATGGTCCACAATGATGCCCTGTTCATTATTGTACATGCTTGGTAAATTTAATTTTGGAGTAGAATCTAAAGATTAAACACACACACACAAATATTTCCCCCTGAAATATTACTGAAACTGCTACTACAGAAGAAATTATTAGGAAGATATAAAAATGGATTCCTTTAAACAATATGGTCTTAAAAAGAAGTAAATGACCCCTCAGACTGTGGGTGGTGCTCCTTTACCAAGTTGGTTATTTGTTACAAATTGGTTGTGATTGATGTTCACTTTTATACCAAAAGATTGTTGTTATTCAATAATCTAATTAGATTTACGCTGGATAAAAAAGACAAACACAAAAATAATCTTTATTAACTCTAACTACGACAGATCTTTTCCCTTTCTAATTTCTGTGTGTCTTTGATAAACAGAATCTCTAAAGGTAACACTGATGATCTGATTAGGCTATCTACAGCTGGAATAAGAAGATAGTGGAAATGGGCTAAGGTTTTCAAATGTCTATCAGTGTAATTAAGCAACAAAATGATAATGCAGATATTGGGAAAATCCACGCTAGTCTAGACTATAAACAGACATTATTCACCATTCAGTCATATAATACCTTTTACTATATTTGTGCCACTATGCTTTACAATAGAGTATACATTTGTATTTAATTTATGTTTGCCATTTGGAATACTGTTTTGGCTATGCGTTTCTCACACATTCTTATAGTGGAACAGCTATGAAGTAAAGAAGCAACAGAAATATTTCAGTATTGTTGTTTCTGGTCAATATACTGATTAATTTTACAAAAATGTAATTAGAAATATTCAGTAAGTGGATTTATGATAATTGTTGGGTTCAGCAGAGCTGAGTGAGTAATTTATAATAAATAATTTGTTAGAGTTCACCTCTCTCTTCCCCTACATGAAATGTTATTTCTACATGAGGAGGTTCCAAACAGCTCTTCGTGAATATCTGAATCTCAAAATTTGCAATATGTTGGTAACATAAGTTACATGATATTTTCTTTGTTTGGATGATTTATCTAACTAAGCAATACAGTATAAATTTTTGAATCTTACAATCAAACAAAACTTGAATTTCTTGTTGGAAAAATATTTGAAAATTCTAAGTTAAAATTATTTTTTTGTAAGTATTTGTTAGTGAAGTTTGATTACTTGAACATTTGTGGAAGCAAACAAAAGAGGGTTACAAACATGTTCAATTCAAAAATCATTTTTAAATTCTTACTAATATTCACTGAACTTGTTTCCACTATTCATTTACTTTTGCTAACAAATTATCCTATAGTTTAAGACTGTAATTTTCACCCATTCTTCAGAGGATGTGAATATCACTTATTGAAAGGTTCTAATTTACATTGTATGGAGATGCGAAAGTCACACTGTCTGTTTTACACATATCCTTCCCATATATTCTCATATCTTATTGTCTGTGATAAACCAACATGGTATTTCGTTCCCTTCTTATACAATACATTTTCTCTACTTTGAGCTGGGACAGGTATTTGTGCCTTTGTTCTAGTTTCTGCACGCTGAATTCACTTTGTTAAGCCGCAACATTGTGCAACAGCACGGAAACAAGAATGCCACAATGAATCAAACATATAATAGAGAATGGGATATATAGGCAATGATGCACAACGTGATGAGAACTTGCCAGTCGTATATACACCTTGGGAATGCTTATCTAAGAGGTACAGGCAGGATCGTTAACACACCTCTATGGTAGGATATCTATATATTGACTGGTGAACAACAAGGAGTTATTTTACTTATAAAGTGGTTTAATGATTAAAATTACTTTTATAAGTGTAAATTTCAGAAATGTGTTAAATATTTTCAATAGAAAATAGGTTTCTTTGGAACTAAGAAAATGGGATGAACCTGCAGAAAGAGGAAGGGACCAAAAGAAACAGTATTCTGCTTCTGTTTATGGATTTCCCTGCATCTCTGTCCTTCACTCCCCAAAATGAAACATGTAATGTAATAGGCCAAGTCAGTGTAGATTCCTCTTCCCAAATCACCTGGAGGGAGCAGGGACTGACAGGAGGGACTTAACTCCTTTTGAATAAAAATGTCTGTTGCTCAAGTAAGGTTTGGATGTGGCATATTGCTCTGTTTGGTGAAGAGGCTTTATGGTACCAAACGTGTGTGCTAATTAGGAAATTATTACATGGATTGAAAACTTCTTCCACCAGTTATATCATAGGTTTTATCTAAGCCATTTGATAAATAAGAAATTTTACAGAACTAGGAGTTTTATTTTGAAGTTATATATACACATGCGTTGTGGATGTTGTGTTGCCCAAGACTAAAGCTGAATGCCGATATCTAAAAAGTAACTAAGGGGGATAGTTCTCTATAAATTCATCTTCATACTCATGCTTCAATATCTATGTGCCTATGGTTATGTTCCTGCCCCCTTTGAAGTAAATGGGAGCTTTGTCATTCATTTCAATAACGCTTTGCTATTGACTTCAAAGAGAGCAGGAACAGGCCCAGCATTTAATTGACAAATCATGGAGGTAGCTGGATTTAGGCAACAAATTTGCATTGAACACCATCTGAAAAAACAGTTGTTTGCCTAGGGAAAGGTTCTGAACGTTCTGTATTTTATAAAAAAAAAAGCAGGAAAATTAAAATCCATATTCTACAGCTTATGGTCCCTTCCTCTCAAATAATTACCCCATGTGGCGCTGGATATCTTACTTCTGCTTCTGTTTGTTCATGATGTAGAAGAGGAGTAGAATCTGGTACTAATTCAGAAGACTGTTCCTTTTCATATTCAGCTAAAAATATAACACATGATTCAATTCACCATTATGTTTGTCATGAAAATGATGTAATCAAGAATGAAGTTAATAAAAATGTGAATGGTAGTGATATTATTATTATCTAGTTAACACTGAGACATTAGCTTTGCCAGTCAGAAAATATTTTTCACAATTTTTTTTTCATTAGAACTTTTCCTTTTTTTAATTAAAATTTTCCAATAAACTTTAGTCTTTAGCATAGTTATGACCACTACAATCATAAATGCTCAGCAAATATTAAAAAAGGATTAGACATTTATATGAGTAAAGAGTAGCATGTGTGGTTATAGCAACTGTATTTCAAAGGCTATCAAAAAGTACCATGCTCACTGCTAGTAATGTATAATACAACCGAATAATATAAGAGGGTCACCAGATGAGGTAAGGACAGATCTCCTGAAGTTATTTTGCACAGCTCGCGAGGTTTGTTATGAGATTTATTTTTCACCTTTCCCAAACAGTCAAGGTTGCTACTGAAGATTAGATCCCAGATATCAACCTTTGGGCTGTTCTGGTTAGGGAATTTCTATGTTCTAAACACCAGTATCATCACTTATTTAGAAAAGAAAAAATAGATAACTGTAATTCTTATTCTCTGAAGAGATAATCCCAGTAGATTTCTACCCTTGAATCCACGCTTCCAGCACATAGCAGACAGATATCCCATAACTGGAAAGTTCTGAACCGATAGGGAACCCCTAGCAGCACTGTGTGCATCACTATGCCAGAGGGGCTCCCTAGGCTGCTCCCTATGTTCTACAATCAGCTTTTAGTTTAGTTATGTTTTGAGATTCAGGCTGCATCAGTGTTCTACAGAAGTTGTTTTTAATGGCTAGGACCAAGTGGCAAATTCAGAGTTTGTACCTGGGACTGCTGTTTTAACTGGCATTCCTCTTTTAAATCCTTAGAAAGAAACTGAATTATTGGGGAATGAGACATCTCCACCGGAGTGGGGAAAGGTTGTGTAACTTCAACAGGTAAGTTAATGTTTAGGAGCCTGAGATGGCTGAGTCCAGGAGCTATTACCAAGTGGAAGTCTCAGATGCCTGTGAACTATCTCGACGCTGTGGGAGCCCCAAAGAGCTGCCAAGATACTATGTGAACCAGGTGGTTGTGTGCGGGGGGGAGGGAAGGAGGCGGTGAGTGAGGAAGGAGGTGGTTGGTAACTGCAAAGATACTGTGTGAACTGGAACGTGAGACTGCAGTGTTGATACTTTTGAAAAGTACAAAGTACTACATGTTAACATGCTATTTTATACATAATTTCTGCATCACAGTAAGTTCTTGATATGTCATGTGTATTGTATAAACATATGTATTCAGAGTAATAAAGCAGAATAGCATGGTAAAATCTTGGACCATCAGTTAAACCCACACCGGTATACCAGGAAGAGAGCAGTAAACTTACTTTCACCAGCCACATAATTAGCTGGAAAATAGCCTTGCTGTCCATTTGCTAGGCTGCCAAACCACCAGTTATCATTATCTTTGTATAACACTTGGATAATGTCACTGCGATGGATGGTTAGCTCATCTGATCGATGCGCTGTGTAGTCATAAAGAGCCACTACCTAAAAGAGAGATAAGACCACCACATCTTTATCACAACTGTGCCACAGAGAAAAAAGCCCAACATTCACTTCCTCTTGCAGAAAAGCAGCTGAAACCAAAGCTGCACTTTGGTAAAAGCTGAGGCTGTCTCAATTTTTGCTAATGGGATCAGGGGTGGTGGGAACGCAGCAGGAGAAGCAAGATAAAGGACTGTGGGATTGTAGAAATGGTTAAGAACATTCAATACACTAAGATTAGCTTCAAAACAGCAGCTGCTAGTTTTATAAGCAATTGACTTGTTAAGCAAAACAAAAAAAAAAACCCTTAGTACATTCACTTTCTCAGAATTGTTACACCACTTTCAGATCCAATTCTGTGTGTGTGCACACTAAACATATATGTTTGAATAAATACTTCAACAATGTGACTGTTTTACTAGATGGAAAACTCCAATGGAACAATTTCATTATAAAGCTTTATTTTGATCCTTTCATTTATTTGTAATGTTTTGTTTTGAAACAAATATCTGTTATAAACATTTGTACATTGGGTCCACATATTATCTACATAATAAAGCCATTCGCCTTTGAAACACACTGCACTGCTGCATCAATACTTCCACTAGAAAAAATGTTAATAGGCTTCTCCCATCTTTCATAATACATAGAATACACAACCACGAATCACAGCCTTTCCGACTGCCCTGAAAATAAAAATACCATGGATCATTTCTTATTTAGTTTCCACAACTATATGATCAGGGAGTGATTTCTGTCCCATTTTGACCAACAAAAGGTAGAAAAGAGTAAAAACAATAGAAGAGGTCTGAACAGATAGGAATCTCCACCCTCCCCAAGACATAATTATGTTATATTTTATACAAACTATTTTTGCCACCAAAGCATACCTGTATATCACAAACAGCAACCAGGTATATTAAGGAAATTGAAAAGGGAATGCTTCTATAATCATAAGTTTAGCATGGTACTTTGTGATTTGGCCAGCCTCAAAGCATTAAGATCAGCTTAGCTACTATTAGACAGGAATCCATCCAAACTTTCACTTAGCTGCCACTAACATATCTAAGGCCTGGTCTAAACTACGAGGTTAGGTTGAATTTAGCCACATTAGGTCGATTTTATAATGAATGTGTCTACACAACCAACCCTGTTCCGCCGACCTAAAGGGCTCTTAAAATCGACTGCTGTACTCCTCCCTGACAAGGGAAGTAGCACTAAAACTGACCTTCCTGGGTCGAATTTGGGGTAGTGTAGATGTAGCGCTGTGCAATTCAATGGTATTGGTCTCCGAGAGCTATCCCAGAGTGTTCCAATGTGACCGCTCTAGACAGCACTGTAAACTCTGATGCACTAGCCAGGTACACAGGAAAAGTACCGGGAACTTTTGAATTTCATTTCCTGTTTGGTCAGCGTGGCAAGTTCAGCACAACAGGTGACCATGCAGTCCCAGAATCGCAAACGAGCTCCAACATGGATCGAACGAGAGACACTGGATCTGATTGCTGTATGGGGAGAAGAATCTGTGCAGGCAGAACTCTGAACCAGCAGAAGAAATGCTGATATCTATGCCAAAATCACACAGGGCATGGTGAAGAGAGGCTACACCAGGGATGCACAGCAGTGCGCGTGAAAATTAAGAAGTTCAGGCAAGCCTACCAAAAGACAAAGGAGGCAAACGGTTGCTCTAGGTCAGAGCCCCAGACATGCCGCTTCTATGATCAGCTGAATGTCATTCTGGGGGGGACCATACCAGTACCCCAACACTCTCCGTGGACACCTGGAAGGTGGCAGCCTCAGGCAACACGGATGAGGAAGAATTGGCAGCAAGCAAGTGGAGAATCCGTTCTCCCCAGCAGCCAGGACCTTTTCCTCACCCTGGAGCCAATATCCTCCCAGGGCCTATTGTTCACGGACCCTGATGGCGGAGAAGGCACCTCTGGTGAGTGCACATTTGTAACGACACTACAGGGGTTAAAAGCAATTGTGTTTAATGTTTGATTTGCCCTGAACAATTGGGATGCATTCGCGGCCAGTACAGCTAATGGAAAAGTCTGTTTACGTGTCTGGGGATGGATCGGAAATCCTCCAGGAACATCTCCATGAAGATCTCCTGGAGGTACTCTGAAAGCTTTTGCAGAAGGTTTCTGGGGAGGGCTGCCTTATTTCGTCCTCCATGGTCGGACACTTTACCACGCCCAGCTAGCAGCAAGTGGTCTGGAAACATTGCAGCACGAAGCATGGCAGTGAAAGGTCCTGGGTTTTGGTCACATTCATGCAACATTCGGTCTTTATCTTTCTGTGTCAGCCTCAGGAGAGTGATATCATTCATGGTCATCTGGTTGAAATAGGGGAAGTTTTGTAAGGGAACAGTAATCCCCTCTGTTTGGTGATCCCCGACACATTAGACCCTGGGCATGCTGGACTGTTTGCGCTTGGCTAAAAGAGGCACTATCCCAAAGTAGCTCTAATACTGATACCTAGGTGTAAGTGATTTCAGTTCTGCAGCATGTAACAAGACTCTTAATTGAGTCTAAATTAGCTCTTATTATACCATGGAGAGAGAAAGGGTCAAATGGTGTCTAGGACCCTTAAACAGGGCCCACACCACCAGGTACAAGTACCTGTCCCCACCCTCTCTCAACTCACTGGGCTTTGGAACCCATGTCCCCTGCCTAGCGAGTGCTGTTCACTTGAGGGTGAGTCCCTCCATTGGGGTATGCCAGGTACAGTTCTGCTGCCCTCGGTTCACACAACAAGGATAGCAGCCGGAGATAGCAATGCTTAGGGAAGGGTTGTGCTGCACATTCACCCCAATACCGCAGCCCCTCCTTTTAAACGGCAAATACAACCGGCATTGGTTGCTATGGGGCAGGAGGGTGCTGCAGTTTGAAACCATTCCCACGTTATGAACGCAGAAGAAGCCAACCCCACGTCCCCCGAATTCTGTTGCCCAGCCATGTGTGATGTGTCACCATTCCGGCAGGTGCTCAATATAAAGGCAAAATGCAACCTTGTTCCTAAAACACGTGCTGTCTGCTGTGAATTGCTTGATTCACTGTGAAAGAGTCTCCCTTTTGTTCTCAGAAAAGTATCTTCTGTAAACTCTACTCTCCCTTTTTTCCAGCTGCAAATGTTTCTATGCTCCCCGCATCAACTCAGTCCCTGAGGTTATCGCAGATTAGAAGGTGAAAAAAACGCACTCGCAATGACATGTTTTCAGAGCTCATGCAATCCTCCTGCCCTGATAGAGCACAGCTGAATGCATGGAGGTATTTGGTGGCAGAGGCCAGGAAAGCATACAGTGAGCGTGATTGTAACACACAGGAGGAGATGCTGAGGCTAATGGGGGAGCAAACAGACATGATGAGGCATCTGGTGGAGCTGCAAGAAAGGCAACTAGACTACAGACCTCCGCTGCAGCCACTGTGTAACCACCTGCCATCCTCGCCAAGTTCCATATCCTCCTCACCCAGACGTCCAAGAATGGGGGGGGAGGGAAGGCTCTGGGCACCCAGCCACTCAACTCCAGGGGATGGCCCAAGCAACAGAAGGCTGTCATTCAAACAGCTTTGATTTGTAGTGTGGCTACAATAAGCAATGTAGCCTTGTCCTTCCCTCCTCCCCCACCCCGTTATCAAACCCTTCGTACACTCGGGCTTCCTTTTACTAGTCAGCGTTGCCAGTGATCTCAAGTTTTTTTTTTTAAATAAATAAAGAATGAATGGATTCAGAACAATAGGGACTTTATTTCCTGTGCCAGCTATGGTCGAAGGGGGGACGAAGATCAGCTTACAGGGAAGTACATTCACCAAAGGGGGCAGGTTTGCATCAAGGACAAACACACACAACTATCACACCGTAGCCTGGTCAGTCATGAAACTATTTTTCAAAGCCTCTCTGATGCGCAGCGCGCCTCGGTGTGCTCTTCTAATTGCCCTGGTGTCTGGCTGTTGAAAATTAGCCGCCAGGCGATTTGCCTCAACCTCCCACCTCACCATAAACGTCTCCCCTTACTCTCACAGATATTATGGAGCACACAGCAAGTAGCAATAACAATGAGAATATTGCTTTTGCTGAGGTCTAACCTACTCAGCAAACTGCGCCAGCGCCCTTTTAAACGCCCAAAGGCACATTCTACCACCATTCTGCACTTGCTCAGGCTATAGTTGAACTGCTCCTTACTGCTGCCCAGGCTGCCTGTGTATGGCTTCATGAGCCATGGGAGCAAGGGGTAGACTGGATCCCCAAGGATAACTATTGGCATTTCAATATCCCCAACGGTAATTTTCCAGTCTGGGGCCTGGTCTACACTGGGGGGGGGGGGGGGGGGGGGGGGGATCGATCTAAGAGAAAGAACTTCAGCTATGAGAATAGCGTAGCTGAAGTCGACGTATCTTATTTCGACTTATCTCGCGTCCTCATGGTGCGGGGTCAATTTCAACGGCTCCCCCGTCAACTTTGCTTCTGCCTCTCGCCGAGCTGGAGTTCAGCAGTCAACGGGAGAGCGATCGGGGATCGATTTATCGCGTCTACACTACACGTGATAAATCGATCCCCGATAGACTGATCACTACCCGCCGATCTGGCGGGTAGTGTAGACGTACCCTGGGAAGAAAGTCCCTTCTTGCAGCTTTCCAAACAGCCCTGAGTTCTGAAAGATGCGAGCGTCATGCACCTTTCCTGACCATCCCACGTTGATGTCGGTGAAACAGCCCTTGTGATCCACCAGTCCTTGCAACACCATTGAGAAGTACCCCTTGCAGTTTATGTACTCTTTGGTAAGGTGGTCCAGTGCCAAGATAGGGATCTGCGTTCCGTCTATCGCCCCACCACAGTTAGGGAACCTCATTGCAGCAAAGCCATCCACTATGCCCTGCACATTTCCCAGAGTCACTACCCTTCTTAGCAGAAGGCTATTGATTGCCCTGGCTACTTGGATCACAGCAGCCCCCACGGTAGATTTGCCCACTCTGAATTGATTCCTGACTGACCGGTAGCAGTCAGGCATTGCAAGCTTCCACAGGGCTATCACCACTTGCTTCTCAACTGTCAGGGCAGGTCTCATCTTGGTATTCCTGCGCTTCAGGGCAGGGGAAAGCAACTCACAAAGTTCCATGAAAGTGGCCTTATGCATGCGAAAGTTTCGCAGCCACTAGGAATCATCCCATACCTGCAACACTATGCGGTCCCACGAGCCTGTGCTTGTTTGCTGGGCCCAGAATCGGCGTTCCACTGTATCAACATGCCCCAGTGCCGCCGTGATATCCCAATTGCCACATCCTGTGCTTTCAGGAACGTCTGTGTCCATGTCCTCCTCACAATCTTCCTCGTACTGGCAGCTCCTAGCTAGGCTCTGCACATACTGCAGGATAATGTGCGAGGTGTTTGCAATGCTCACAAAAGCAGCGTACAGCTGAGCGGGCTCCATGCTTGCTGTGCTATGGTGTCTGCACGGATAACCCAGGAAAAAAGGCGCGAAATGATTGTTTGCTGTTGCTTTCAGGGAGGGAGGGATGGAGACTGATGACATGTACCCAAAACCACCTGCAACAATGTTTTTGCCCCATCAGGCATTGGAAGCTTAACCGAGAATTCCAATGGGCAGCGGGGACTGTGTGATAGCTACCCACAGTGCACCACTTGTGAGACAATGCTAGCAACGGTATTGAGGACGCACTCCACTGACCTACTGCGCTTAGTGGAGACATGCACGATCGACGTATAAAATCAGTTGCTAAAGATCAACTTCTATAAAAATCGACCTAATTTCGTAGTGTAGACATGCCCTAAAGGACCAAAGAAACCGAGTAACTGAATACCTCCCTCTCAATTATACGTCTCCTCTCCACATCAGGAAAGGCAATAATATGATCAAAACCAACACTGCCAGTGTAAAATTTAGATGGATGCAGCTTGCACGATCACATCCAGCAAGGGATGCTCTCAGAATACCAACTAATTGAGAAATGCAAGGACTCCTTGGAGATAATACTGTGAAAACCAATAGGTCACTTAAGGTAAAAGGAACATAACTTGAGGTAAATATTCAACAGAATGCACAAAATGAAAGGCAGAACAGAAAGTGCTGTGTATTTTTGCAATATCTTATAGTAAAATGTTCAGTGGTTGTTCAATATCTGAAAAAAATTACAAAAATCTAATGACTTGACAAACTTGCAACACGCTTAAAAGAAAAGCAAGACAAATCAAAAATTTAGGTACCATTGTACCTTGAATTGTGATTGGTTTAGGGAAATTAGGGAATCACTGATTAAAAATAAAAGTGGAAGCTACCATTATTTTCATTATCCCATTAGAGATATCTGAATTAGAGCTGGGCAAATAACTGATTTTTTGGTTCGCTGGCAAAAAAAAAATTATGAACCAGACCCCAAAATTCCAAAAACTTTCAGGAAATCAAAAAATATGTTCTGGGTAAAACAAACAAACAAACAAAACCCCATGTCCCTCAGCCAAAATGTTTGTTTTCCAGGCATTTTTAAAGGGCTAGATTTACAAAACAGTCAGAGACGGAGGAGTGATAGTGGTGGTGTAGATTAACATTTCCAAAATTATACATACAGTGTGGCAGGTATTGAAACAATAAACAATTGCATAATACGTACTATCTCTTGCACTGGTGTAGAATTATTTGCTCCTCTCATACATGATGTAACCAGAAGGTCATCACTCTAAAAGAAGAAATTATTTTAACATTAGCATGCAAAATTTTGGTAAGGATAGTTTTCAAAATGAGCACTTGTCATATACTGTAAACACAACAGTGTACTGTAATAAATATTAATTTTTGTTTTTCCAAGGCAAAATACAAGTGATATTGGATAATATTCCTAGCAGTATTGATTAAAAGTTATTTAGGAGAAGATTTAATTAAAACTCCTTTGCTATATGCACCCCACTAAAGATAACTCCTTATGGTAAGAAAAAAGGCTGTTAATGAGTACTCATTCTGAGCTTGCCTGCATTACAAACTACACAATGGTGGTTCATGGAGATCATGCAGTGAATTTCACCTCTGATTATTATGCTGAAACTGATATATATATTTTTTTAATATAATGGCTCATTTTTGGTTGATTTGAAACAAACAACCTTTTCACTGCTGGTTCTTAACAGTACTTTGCTGCCATTATTCATTATCATTTCACTGAAATAAATGGAATATTAGATATAACTAACATTTTAGCAATGCTACAAGTGTGCTTAAATTTGGATGTACCAGTACCTGGAAAGTTTGATATAATTCAAGTAGCAGAACTACAAACTTTTGGCAGGTTTCTCCAAATTTAGAAGCATTCACTGAAGGTAGATTTAGAATTGAATAATTATGAAAAAACTATTTTTCTCCATTATACTGAAAGCAGCTCCCTCATAGTAACTGAGCCGATACAAGGCATTTGTCAGCGCTACTGAAATAGCGAAGGTGTCAATTACCTAATTTATTAAAGGAGAAACCAGATTCTCTGCGTGCTGAAGAGTGCATACTACAACTCAGAATAGAAACATTGTGCACACGTACACCAGCATGTAACCAGGATAAAAGGGACTAAGATATTTTAATGGGAGAATCAACTATGGGCATTTAGAAGTGATGTTTTTCACCCACAGAAGATTGTGCTAAATTATAAACCAGTTTAAAATTTATGAGAAATCTCATTCAACCTCTATTTCTTCCATCTCACACTCACTTCAAATGTTTTCAGCACCTATAACTTTTTCTCTTTCCTTTTCTCTTAAAAAAAAGTCTTTTAACTTTTTTTTCCAAACAAATGAATGCACATCTTAAATTTGATGCTGCTTTTATTTTCCCAGTACTATTTCTATTAGGCCATCACCATGTATTTTTTAAAAGGACCATCATTATAGCAATCTTCAGCAAGGAGAGCAGAATTTGTGGTCTCCTCTAAAATCTCAAGTGACCTACATTCCTCTCCCTGCACAAGTATAATGCACTTTCACATGATGACTAGTTTTAACTCATCTAGGAGAAGGATACTTGGTAACCAGGAAACTTAAGCTTCTCTAAACTCATCTCCAGCTCATTTATGAGATGCAATATATAATATGCAATATGGCGTTTACCAGATTAACCATACAATAATAAAGTATCAAAGCAAATAGCTGCAATCCATTCTTACATTTTACTAGCATATCTATTCATACTACCGAAGTGCTACTGAATTTTTGTAGAGTACACACAGAGTAATAAACCTTTAAATCTCATCTGATAAATATACAGGCTCTGAACACATCACATCTGTATTACAGTACAGTTTAAGCGGCTTGTAAATGGCATACTGGTAGTTAACACAGCCATGCAGGTTTCAGCCTATTCCTCATCTTTCATTCTCTGAGCAGAAAGAACTCTGCAGGCAGTGTGCTTAGCCTGGAGGGTGGGAGTTGTTGCTCAACAATGATTCATCAGGATTATTATTAATATTATCTAGGTAACTAGTTAAGGAACTTATATAGCCCCCATTACAATATTGAATGTTTCTCTCTCTTTTTTGTAAGGTATTTGTATTCTATAGAAGGTCTCATCAAGTTCTCCTTATAGTTAGGTGAGCTGTTAGGAAATAATATTCTCAAAGCCATGAGCCACCCCCCGGAATATTTTGAATGTACTCCGATGTTGTGCTAAACTTTTATTACAACATGAACCCAAGGAGTTTCCACTTGAAGGAGTATTCGGTATATTTTTAAATGGTATACGTGACAGTGTGTGTACCGATCCCATCCAAGAGCTGACAGAGTGAGAGTTCAAGCAGAGTTATGACCACAGCTGCATGCTCCAAACACAGGGATTGGTAGCAGGATAGGGTCTGCTGTGGTGAATAAGTAATTTCCCCAGTACACTTAAGCTCCCATCTAAATTTCAAAATTATACCATGGAGATATAACTGGCTCCTTCAATACTTTTAAAGCATGACTCCTTTTCACAGTGTCACTAACACATAATTTTTTCAGAATTGTCCTAAAGCCTTGGACATATCTGGCTCTAGCATGATTCTTAACACATCTCCTCTTTGCTGTAAAGTGAAAACAATTCAACCATGTTGTATTCAGATTCCATGATATTACTATTTTTGGAGTGTAGGATGGATGCGTTCAGAGGAGTTGGAGCTAGCACACTAGGAGTCAGCCCACCTGAGAGAGACAGGATGAAAAAGCTAACTGGGAATGCCCTCTTTTGCCACATTAACCTTAGCTGAACAAAGCCTTTGTGAATATTTAAGCCCTTCCATGGAAGAACCCCCATAGATGTACCAGTTGGTTGGATTTCAAGACCCTTAAGTATTAGTACTTCATCAGACTCTAGCTTACCTGACCAATCACAGTGTATTCTAAAATTGAATTCTGCCCAGCAGATCAAGGGGGAAAAAAAGAGGCACTTGCCAAATGACAACCAAACTTGCTGGCGGCCATTAGGCGTATGTGTGATGCCTTTTCAATTGTTTTGCATACACCCTACTTCCCATTCTTGCACCAGGGCTCAGTCAATCCTAGAACCAGCACTCTATTTTATTCTTAGGCACTGGAGATACGGGGGCCACAGGGCTATTCCCCCTCCCACACTTTTTAAAAGGGGGTGCCATGCCCCCTTCTTTTTAAAATGTAGCTGGGGGGGGGGGGAGAGTGCCCTAGTCTGGCCTGGCTGGCTGGCACCTGGGTCCCACTCTGCATCATGCCATGTGCCAGTAACTAGGCCCTTATCTGCCAGCGGCTCATGTGGCATTGGCTCCTCTCGGTGCCAGGAACTGGGAAGCAGGACAGACCCATCCCTCGAGGGCTTTGGGCTCACCAGCAGGGAGGGTAAGGTAGGAACTGGGGGAAGGAGTTCTGGGGGACTCAGACTGTAGTGGGGGGCACCAGTGACCCATTTTCCCTCCCCCCAGGTTGCAAAACCAGGCTCTACTGCTTTATTCCTAAAACCAAGAAAACTACATTGAGCACATGGTCAGTAAAATCACGGAATCACAGAAGTTGGAGGTAGAAAACACATTAGATCAGTGGTTTTCAAGCTTTTTTCATCTGCGGACCCCCCAAAAATTTTGAATTGAGGTGCGGACCTTTTTGGAAGTCTTAGACAGTCTGTGGGACTGCCAGGGGTCCACAGACCATAGGTTGAAAACCACTCCATTAGATCATCCAGTTCTTCTCCCTGCTAATGCAGAATTTGTTCCCTACTGTACATATTCTAGTGTTTTGCACAGTGCCATTTTAAATTCTGAAATGATGGGGATTACACATCAGTGTTCTTAGGAGCCTATTCCACAGTCTACAAAAATTTCAGTCAGAAAGTTTTGCCAGATAGTCACCCTTTCTTAATTTCATCCCATGACTTCTAGTTATACCTCTGTGCCACTCTAACTCAATTTTCTTTGGTATCTACACCCTCCAAATATTTGTAGACAATTATGACCCCTACTTTGTCACCACTTAGTCAAGCTGTATATACACCATTCTTAATCTTTTCTTCTATGTCAGACTCCCATTAGCTTTGATATTTTTGTATTTGTCAGTAGTTTTCTGGTAATATGATACCCAGAACCAAACACAGTATTCCAGATGTGGTAGCATCAGAGCCAAATAGAAAAGAATTAGTACTTCTCTGCTCCATGATGTCATCCTAAAATGGAACTGATTTTTTATTTTTTTGCAGCCTTACTGCACTTCACATTTAAATCTAATTTGCTATCAGGCCTAGATATTTTTTAGCATTATTACTTATTATGGATATTGTGGTAGCACAAATATATATTATATTGTGGTGTCCAAATATATTGGGATTTGCACAAACATATAGGAAGACACAGTCCCTGCTCTAGAGCTTATGGTCTAAAGATTCAAAAAACGGATGAAGAGTCAGGAAAAGGGCTGCTACATACAGGAAAAGTGTTAAGGGTGATGATGAGCTCTAGTGATGGGAGAAGGTGTCTCATTAGTTCCAACCTTTTCTCTTTGTTTTAATTATGGAGAGGGGAAATGAATAAGAAGGAGCAAGGAAGCATATGGAGGACACTGAGGTGCAGAAGATAAGAGGAAATGGTGAAAGGAAAGAAGAGGGAGGGAAGGAGGGAAGAATGGAGGGCAGAAAGAACAATGCTGGTGGCTGATAGACTATGAGGTAGAAGGGTGGGAGTATGTTGAGACAAGCAAGCAGTTAGCAGACAGAAAATAATGTTGGAGTCTGTTGGTGCCATGGCTATCTAGGAGGTGTCAAGATTTTTAGGATGAAGAGGGACAAAGGATCCCACTTAGCCCACTCTAGCAGCTTGTTTCCTGGGAAGTCCTTGCCGCTCCCGAGAGGTCCTACTTGGCCTCCCTTAGACCATATAACTGGAGAAGGGGAGCGTAGCTGAGGCCCATGTACCTGAGGATTAGGGGAAGGTTTCTCTTCCTAGACCCTGAAGATGGAACAGGTGCCCAAGCTGGGTATTTCTCCACTACTACTGCTGCAGTTCCTTCAGATGGTTATGATACTTCCTAGATTTCTACCTCCCACTCAGAATGTGCATTTAAGATTACTTTTCCTCAGGTGTAATAAGCTAGTATTTTTCAAAACAGATGATAATTTTTGTTATTTTCTACCCATGTTTCTGATCTCTAGACTATTTTGAGTACCATCTGCAAATTGCGTTGCTATGCTATTCACTCCCTCTCCTACATT